TTTAGTGGGTAATTACTTTGTCATATATTGCCAGATTCATTTGAAAAACTGTTTCCCTTGATAAATGAAATCATTTAATAACTGCATTCTGTACTTACTCAGGTATCTTAGTAGAACATTACAATTTGTTTGGTGATCATCTAAGCATGACAAACATACTAAAAACTAAGAAATCAGCAAGGGGGCAAAGACTTTTTTCACAGCATAATATACACCTTGCTGATAAAACAGAGAAATCTTAATTTACACGCACTGAGAGTGTTTTGCAAGAGAGTGAATAGTTGCAATCAAAGGTGATGGACTGTCATGACCTTCACGAATGTTGGCAGCAAACCGTGAACAGGAATAATGTAAAGGAGTGGGAAAGAGTGAAAGAGGGATAGAGAGCAAGCAGAGTGTGAGAACATATAAGAAAAGAGAAACATTAAAATAAATTATATGGCAGATTTGTTACTAATAAGGCTCAGCACAACACGCAAGTGGTACATCTTATGTTTAGACTCTGTGGAAAATTCTTTTTGTAATCTCCACACTAATGAGGCCTTGTAATTTCAGCTGAGAGTATACTAGAAAGATTCACAGGAACACAGGAACAAAAACCCCCCAAAACAAACAAGCTCTTAAATCTTTCATGCGAATCCTTATTATCCAAATGCATTGCTCGCTTTCTCCCTCTTGACCTCTATATCTTCCTTTTTCTTCTTGTTTCACTGGCCTGTTTCTTTACAGGGAGTAAAGCTGATGTTTCACAACAGGGAACACCTATGAACATTAGCTTTCAGTCTTTCTGCCTTAGACTTTCTCTATTTTCAGCATTTCTCTCCCTTTGCTTCTCAGTCTGATTAAAATTCTTAGTCTTTGTTTTTTTTCTATCCACAACTTCACTCCTTATTTTCTGCTTTCTTTCTCCCTCCTTCATTCTATTCTCGATCTTCCTCCGCAGTCCAGCTGACAGTATGAAACATGACCTCTCACTTTGCCTTGGTTTCTATTAAGGAACACACACATACAAATGCACACACTCCCACGCACCTTCACATACCACCCAAATCCCAAATGCTATTTCAAACTGCTTTGGAGCTGGGGGGAGACAGGGGCTTATTGAGATGAAGCATGAGGCCTTGGGGGTGACAACGTGGGCATGATTGTCTGCTCGGCTGGCATTCTCTTCCTTGAAACTCCACAGAAGCTAAACCCCACCAGAAACCAGAGCTAACCATAAGAGATAAAAAGTGAGAGTGCTATTTCAATTCTCGGTGTCATGCCATTCATCACAGGCCTCTAATGACAAACTGTGCAGTTAAGCTATCGTTTCCAAGAAGAAATAGGAATTCTTCAGTCAAATCTATCCATAAAAAAGCAAGGTCCTGGTCAACACAACTCATATCATGCCTGCATAATGGCTCACAATACATCTGACGCCATCAAGAGCATTCTGTCCTCTCCTGCTCAGAATAAATTCTGACTGCCCTCAAATTAATGATCAGTGAAATCTGTGGAAACCATTCAGCATCGCCAAATCAAAGGGAAGGTTATGAATATAAAATGATGAAAGCCATTCAAAGAGCTGCCTTTGATGAGGAGTTAAAAACTTCGACTGACAGCGGTAAATGTTTCTCCGGCCTTTTTTGTAAACCACAGTCTAATGTTTCCTGAAGTAGCACTGGAGGGCACTGATTGCACTGTGGGTGACCAATCTGAGCGGCACGCGTTAATGTGTTTTTTTATGTACAAATGGGTGGGAGAATAACAAATTCCAGATAAGTTTCACTTAACAATCAATTGTAGAATCATAAGAGGTAACAGAAAGAAAGTAGAAACAAGATCCATCTGTCTGCATAATTTTTCAACTATTATTATGACTGGTAAAATGGATATTATGCTTGACCGACGTACCAAAGTGCCCCATTAGGCCAATTAGTGCTTTTTTCCTACACAAGACAGTTCTAATTAATGTGCAAGCAACTTTTTAAAAATGGTCCTTTGATGTGACCAACTGAGAATTGCTAAGGTAGAAAATTATCCCCTTAACTCCAGACTACCCATGGCACCTTTAATAGCGTCCTCTAAGGTTTAAAAATTCAAACTTTTGTGAAAGTTACTCAGCTGTACCCACTGATGCGTAGGTCAAATATGAAACATTTACATAAAGAAACAAGATTTAAGAACATCTCCAAATTTTCTGTTATTCTGAACCAGAGAAAGCATTTAAAGGGAGCACGACATAGACCAAAGCTTGGGTTTTGAACAACACCCGCAAACGGAGAGAAAAGCAGATACGGCAGATACAGAAAGGCTGAGCAACAAAGTGAATTCCACCGTTGGCGTTCACAATAGTCATGCTACGTTATGTGATCCTGTTAGCTTGCCTGAGTTATTGTATTGGAAACATTGTGGGGCGGTAAGCACCGAAGAGGCAGTAGGCTTTCAGAGGCACAGGGATAGAAGGCTAAATGACAGATGATACACAAATTTAAAGACCACAGGATGGCCCAAGGCAAGCTGGGAGCCACAGACAAGTACCCTTTTACGGTAACACAGACACTGCTACTGCATACTCAAACAGATAAACTCTGGGGGACTCTTATATTAGGCATGCACACAAGCTGCTGTACAATCACACACACTCAACGTACTTGCTGTGTTTCATTTCAGGGGCTGCTTCCTTTGCAAATCTGCATTCCAAGAACAAATCAGAAAAAGGCTGACAGGGCCATGCTATTTTAAAAGCTTGTTCACATGTAGCCTTTGTCGTCCCCCAAATCTGGAGAAAAACAAACCACCATATCGCTTTTGTGCTACGTCTTCTTCCTTGGTTTCTGACTCAGCAAGTGAATGAAGACTGCTCTGATTAGTTCTGTCCACACAGGGAACTTGCAATTAAGCTAAAGCAAGTCTTCATTTAGCAATGAGGTGCACTTGCGTCCTACAGTCTATGGTCCTCTCAAGGACATCATATGTCGTGTCCTTTTAAGGTGTTGACACAGAAGATGAGATTCTGCTAACATCCCATCTATATTTGCATGCACAGAGGTGCCTCAATATCATGCTGTGAATCTAATCTCAGTTTACAGCCCACCATGGTATAAGTCTTCTAGTGCACACTGAAAATGGATTATAATTCTATAAATGCCTTGGAAGGAGTAGTCTGTTGGAGTTTTGCAGAAAGATCAGTAGCCTCCCTTGGTACCTCCTGCTAAGGTGCACTGCAGGAGTTATCAATGGAGAAATCTAATAACACATACTTCTGCAACCTTTCATGTTCCTTGTCTTCCCCTGTTTCGCACTTCCAGTCTATCTTCACCTTCCCTTTCTTGTTTGACTCGTCCAACCGCTTTTGTCTTTGGGCGACTCTTTACAAACGCAAACAATCCCGCACAGACACAGCTAGAGCACCTTTTGAAATGGATGAAAGCTTAGTGACAACATCAAGTCCCGTTATGGTGCCTGTTGTAATTGTGCAATGTTGCCGACAACAAGGACAATAAAAAAAGCCATGGCTTCACATCGAAGCAGAACGGATGGAGAGCGACACGGCGTCTTGGAGTCTCCGGCTGTAATATTTCTCACAGTGTTGTGATGGTGTGCTATTTTCCACCCCACAAGTCACAAAAACTGCCATGTACAAAGCAATACACTCTCTTAGTGAGAAGTTGAAGGTCCCTACTCGAATTACAATAAAAGTAAAAGTAAACGCATATAAAGAAAATAACCTCACAGTCATTTCCCTCAGTTTCTTCAGTTCCTGCAGTTGTGAATGGCTGACTTTGTGCCAGGAATGGGTGCTCCAATTGTAAGGCAATGACAGAGACAATGAGGCAGTGAGACGCAAATGGAGATGGGAAGAACAAATATATGTCTAAAGGGAAACATAAACAGGAGAAATCAATGGACACAGTAAGAAGAGGCTTTTATTGAAAGAAAAACTTTATTATTGTCATTTAGTGTTTTCTTTTCTTTTTTTTTACCATTAAAGGACTGAAAAATGGATAGACATATTTGGTTAGCATTGTACTTATGAGTGCCATGTGACTAAATATACAGTAAACACTAATCAAAATATGCAGTGCCTACAATCCCTGAATACCTCGACCGTACTGTTTAGTCGCCAAAATTTTGCTTTTCAAGTCAAACAAGCCCTATTGTCAAGCATGTTCCAATGAGTGCTTACAAAAGTTATGGTTTTCCTGATAATTTTAGGGGCTGCAGAAAATTTTGAGTTCAAGGACTGTAGAGCACCTGGGTGTGCTGTGCATAAAAAGCTGAGGTCATTAGAGGGAGCATTTTAATTTATGACCAGACTTTGAAAGACTTTGTTTGTATTAAACCCCGTGAATTGCTTGGTATTTCATTCTCTGCTCTTTCTCTTCTCTCTGCTTGTTGAACACATTTAATGTTATGAATTCAGCATCCACTTTGTGGTCTGACGTGGGTTCCTCTGGGTATCCTCTGAGGAAGTCATTTGGACATCAGGTGGTAAAGCACTCTTGTTGGAGTCCCAATTTATGAACTGCGCTGCTCGACTTGCTTGACACAGGCCTGTATATCTAAAGGAGTGCTCACAAATGACATCAAACTCTTTTCTTCTGTAATTAGATGGGATTAGTCTGGGTTGAGAGAAGCAGCCCCAAACGGACGGAGCCTCAAACTCAATTTGCATAATTCAAAACCTCAGGGGCTTGTAAAAAGTAAGTTTGAAGGAAGAATAATGAAAGGGCCAACCTTTTTTTAGTTAGGTTGAGTCTAGAAAATCAACAGACAGATGAACGCTTGATGCCATAGAGAGTCGGAGATGTTTAGTCATGGTAGAAACAGCAGCTTGGTAGTCAGGACAACTATGTCCTGCTCCCAGTGACGCAGGTATCCTTGTTAGTTCTGTTACTCTTCACATGATTTCTCAAGTGCGTACACACTGTTGGCTCATTATTTTTTCTGATTTAGGTGCTGACTGAAAAGTCCAGATGTGTACATGGACAAATTCTTTTTTCCTCCTTCTTCTCTTTTGTTAGGTTTCCTCTTCTTTTGGTTGCTCCCTTCAGCGGATCATCTGCCTCACCCTATCCCTAGCATCCTCCTCTATCACACCAACCTTCTGAATGTCCACCTTCACCATTTCCATGAATCTTGCCTGAGGTCTTCCTCCTTCTGCCTGGCAGCTCCATCTTGAACATCCTTTGTCAAATCTATCCACTATCTCTCCTCAACACATGTCCAAACCATTTCAGCCTCTCTTTGTCTCCAAAATTCTTCTCGTTGTCCTTGTTTTGAATCCTGTCGTCCCCGGTCACTCCCAGTGGAAATCTTAACATCTTCAGCTCTGCCACCTCCAGCTTGGCCTCCTGTCTATTGTCAGTCTTGCTGTCTTGACACCATACATCATAGCAGATACTACTTCAGTCTCGTAAACCATCCCTTTCACTCCTGCTTATATCTTTATGCCACAAATTACCCCTGACACTTGTTCCCTCCCACTCCACATGCTCAACTGTCTGTTGTTTTGGATGGTTGACCCCAGGTATTTAAACTTGCACATCTTTACTACCTCTACTCCTTTCATTTTCACTGTTACACACTGTCTCCCTCATTCACAAAACTGTATTCTGTTTTTTATTTTACTGACTTTCACTCCTCTTCTCCTCAGATCTCCACCCCTCCAGATTCTACAGCCTCTCTTATTTCCAAAGCTGAATTTTGTTTTGTTACTATAATGACTACAATGTTGAGGTAAATGCCTGACTTTTCCGTTTTTGAAACTTGCCAGTAGTTTGCACCTTGTGGTCAATCCCCTGTGCATCTGCAATATGTTTTGATCCACAAGGGAACGAGCAAACCTACTCCTGGAGAAGCTTCTTGACCTGCTGTGCTGTTATAAAAGGGTTTTTTGTTTTTGTGCCTCTCAGTCTGCCAGTTTCTTTCTCACTTCCTACTTTTCTTTAGTACTTACTACATTTTAAGCACTCTTTGGTGCATGAAATAATGTTGAAACAATACACAGCTGGATAAAACAGCTGTTTGTAGTCAAGTACTTCATGGTTAAATCCTTGTGATGCAAAACTTGTTTTAAGGCTACAGCTCACACATAATTTGTCATGGTCCCTGTGCCTCCCCGGACAGCCCAGTGTGGCCACAAGTGTTTGTTGTTTTACTCTCTCTCTGCTCCCCTCACCTTGCTCTCTCTCTCTCTCCTACCTGTCTGCCTGGGCGGAGCTCTGATTGGGCTCCCGCCCTTGGCCCACGCACCTGCAGCTGATCTCCGGTGATTTGCAGCTCTTCTTAAGACAGGGGCTCTGAGCTACTCGTCGCTGGAATATTGAGTAACTCTCGTTAGTATTGCCTGGCTTCATTGCGATTCTGTTGTTCCCGTGCTTGCCTCCGACTTACCCTCGTCTGTGTTAATAGGTTTACCTGGATCAGCCCTTTTGTGACCCCTGGACCCCGTGAGTGTGAGTGGGCAGCTTGTGTGGAGATTGTTTGGACAAGCAGCGGAGCAAGTGCGAAGAAGTGTGTTTCCCCAGCCTATTGATCCCCGGAACCCTGGAGTCCCCCCCCTTCACGTGTACATTTCGCACCAGTGTGATTAATAAAGTATTGTTGAACTGTGCTTTCTCAGTCTGCATCTGAATCCATTCCACCAACGTGACATAATTCCTTCAGGACTGTAAACCAACCTAAATTAAATCAGATAGTCTTGTTATTTCAACTAGAATCTCACTATTAATACAAATGTTACAGCTCAAAGACCAATGTTACAACCCAAAGGGCCTTTTAGTAAATAGCACAGGTCTTTGGTCAGTCTGATGTAGTCTTGTAAATGCTGTAAATTCTGCAAATGCTCCACTGACGCTCACACAGAATTACAATTTAAACCCTTAGCCAATCCATTACCAGTGGCATCACTGGAAGCCTTATATATTTTATTTAAACCATATTTTTCCCCTTTTTTTCAACATCCCTGATGCAGTTTCTCTACTTCCATTAAAAAAAGAACTGTTTGAGAGCCACTCATATACACTCACAGGCCACTTCACTTCAGGTACACCTTGCTGATATTGGGTTAGATCTCCTTTAACCTTCATAACTACCTTAATTCTGAATCGCATAGATTGAACAAGTTGCTGGAAACATATCTTGGAGATTTTGCCCCGTATCTGAAATAATCTTTTTTGACATAGCGCATTATCCTCCTGGAAAAAGCCATCAGAAGATGGGTCACAATGTACAATGGACATGATCAGGAACAACACACAGGTAGGCTGTAGTATTTATAGGATGCTCAGTTGTTACTAAGAAGTCCCAATTGTGCTCAGAAAGCTTTCTTCCTCATTCTGATGCTCAATTTGAACTTGACCAGGTTGTCTTGACAATGTCTGCATGTCTAAATGCACTGGGTTACTGCCATGGGATAGGACGATTACATATTTGCATTACGCAGTTGAACAGGTGTACCTAACAAAGTAGCCAGTGAGCGTATACTGATCTGCTAAAGCCAACTTTACAACTGATATCAGCACTACTACTACTAACATTACTACCACCGAAGAACTGTCTATGTATTTCAAATATGACATCCTAATTCTAATACATCCAAGATCAAATGGTTTGAATATACCTACTGGTTTTATAACTCAACACAGGGCTGTCAAATCCATTCCACCTTCTCAAGTTCAAATAGCAGACATACGTTTTTATCCTTTGCTAAAGTTATAACACTGCCTTAAGTCATTGGCTGTCTTAATCTTCCTTCGTCTAAGCTCTTTTAATACGATTTGGTTGCGGTGGGCAAGTCAAGGTCTGGGGAAAAGTATGTAGAGAGGACCCACTGCAATGCAACACTCTGGGACCAACAGAATGAAACTCCAAATTGAAAATGGCGCCCACCTTGGCCGGGTCAATGATCTGTGTGTTAGTGTGTGTATGTACAAACGTGTGTGTGTTGGGGGGAGAGAGAGAGAGAGAGAAAGGGACAGAACTGCAAGTAGAGCACTTTCTTGAGCAATGGAGCGCATCTGCATAAAAGGCAGGTTGAAATCTTGGAATCCTTTTAGTGTGTTAGACATATAAATTGCCTTTCACGGTGCTACATAAATCAGAAAGGACTATGCATGTGTGGCCTTTCTCTGCCTCTCTGTCTTCTGTCTCTCTGCAGCCATACTCCTCTTCCTATGGTGCTGATGTGACTGTGTGTGTGCGCGCGTGCGCCTGTACGTTGCTTTCTGACAAAAGCTGCTCTTGACAAGCCAAGCCTGCCCCCTCTCAACACCCGTCTTATCCGCTAACATCGTGATCCATCATGCTGTGGTTCACTGGAACCCCTCCCACACACACAACGATCCCCTGCTCTCATCCTCACCTCCACCCTCCAAGCTGCCACTCTGACCTGCCTCAATCCTTCCCCTTCCTCCTCCCACTTACCTTCCTCATCTCATCACGCTTTCTCATGCCTCCGCTCTGTGTGCCACACTCCCTCAATCCCACCCATCTGCACACCATTTCCTCCTCCCTCCCGCCCTGTGAGTCTCCCTTACTCCCTCTCGCCCCCTCTCCTGCTTCAAGTGTTTATCTCGCTGCCTGCGCTCCAGTCATCCAAGCAGTCAGTGGAAAGAAAGAGAGCTCTCTCTCTCCTGGGTCTGTGACCCTTGTCAGGGGGACAAACTGCCCACCGCTGCTTGCCTACACAGCTGGAAAATTAAGAACTTGTGGGGGCGGGAAGGTTCACGGTGTTTGTGTGTTAATGTGTGTGCGTGACAGGGAAGGAGGGAGATGCTCATAGATCAGTCTTGAATGTGGGGAAAAAAGAGAGAGCGAGATGGTATGTGAATGTGTGTGAGACTATAAAGAGTGTGCGCACGTGTGTGTGTGTGTGTGTGTGTGTGTGTGTGTAAGTGTAAGAGAGAGATCAGGTTAAGCAGTCTTGTTTAGAGAGGAAACAAGCTGCAGATGGTTGTGGGTGTCCAGCTGTTACTCCATCTAATGGGTTAATGAGTATCACAGCACCATCCAACTTGCCTTGTCTTCCTCTTTGTCTCTCGTGTTTTCTCTCTATCCCACATTAGCCTGGCACACAACCACATGACTATTTTGTGAACATGACTATTTTGTGAACAAATAGCTCAAAAGAAAACCAAAGAGACAAAAAAAATAGAGAACTTTAGGACCATCCCCTTCCTCCATTAACAATCACAAACAGCATCTGCTGCTTGTTTTCTATGAAGGTATTAATTTCAAAGCCGCTGCCCAGGTTTCTGTTATTGTTGCATAACATTACTGGGGTTCTTTGACCTTAAAGCAAATCAATTGCCCTGCGGGACTATGGAAACACTAAAGAGTGTCGGGATTCTTTATTTGCAGGATTTTCTCAGGGGGGGTTTTGACAAAGTGCCTACCAAGGTGTGGATAAAAAAAAAGAAAGAAGCAACATAAAAAAACCACAATCCTCAAAACTACCAGCACATGTTTCAAAACCATCCGTGGGCGAGCAAACAGTGAATGAGTTTTAAAAGGATGAAATATGAACCATTCGCAACACATTTTTTTTGAGATAGAGTACCCTGAGAGAAAATGACTCCTTCTCTTTGGTTTATGTGAAAGATGTAACACAAAAAACCCAAATGGTTGCACACAACTAGACTGCAGACAGGGTTATGGATTTCTGATTTGTTTTCATAAAGTTTAGTTTCATTTTCAGGCTTGCGCATGGGCCCACGTAAGTGAGGTTCAGAACATACAAATGCTTGTGGAGACACCTCACAAGCCAAGAGACACAACGTTTGTTTTGATCTTTTAAAAAAAATGCTTTCATCGGATCAAGTGTCTCTTTAATGACCGGCCTGATTTGGGGTTTTTAACTCAAGGGACATAATTAAAACGCGTAAAACAATTAGACACAAAGAAAACAAAATCGGCTGGAGCATTAAATTATATATTCAAAAGGTACCAAAGCTAAAATTATAGGGGACATCTTCTGTTTGTTGTTTTTCTGAGAGAAGAAAGAAAACAAATCAATCAGCCAATGCACATGCAAATCCACAAACGTACACGCCAGAAATGTGTCCTCAACTTTAAGAGAAATGTGCAGGAATGTGAATGTGTAATCAATTAATTGGCTATTATGAGATATTATAGATATTATGTCTCCAAGCATCTTTAAAAGATATGACAACATGATAAACACGGATTTTAAAACATATAAAATATAATGCAGTGTCTTTCTTGTCTTTCATATTTTTTCCATTACATTCTTATATGAAAAAAACCTAAAAGGATAAACAGATGGTTTTCTTTTTTCACCATAATTGTTAAGCTAAAATGTCTGTTGTTCACTCACATGTATTTTAGTATATTAGTATTTAGTATTTATTTATTTATTGTCATTGTCAGAGAACAATGAAATTGCATTTGGGGCTTCCGTACAACCCGTAAATAAAATAATGAAGAAAATAATAAATACCCCTTAAAACCCAAGTGTAAATATTTAACCCAGTGTGACTCCAGTGCAATAAGACAATCCTGTATAGACCTGTACCTTCTCCCTGAGGGCAGCAGGTGGAAAAGGTGGCGCGCAGGGTGATGTTGGTCCCGCAGAACACTGTGCACCCGTCTCAGACAGCGAGTGGGGAAGATATTACTGATCTCTGGCAGACTTATTCCAATAATTCTGCCAGCTTCTTTCACCAGTCAGTCATGTGCTCATGACTGACTGCTCAATTTGTTCACACCTGCTAGCAAAGTGTAGAGCATGGATGGCCCTGAAAGCATACACACTCCTCTTAACCATGCCATACAACTGCTGTTGTATGGCAAACCTTTATTGTGAAAGGTTTACGTGGAAAACAAACAAGCGGACAGCGGAGCCACGCGATGGTTTTACCGTCATTGTTGCTAACGACAACACGTAAAAACAGGCGCTTGTCCGTCCATAGTGTGGTTTTATTAAATATAAGAGAAAGAGAGAACTTTAAGAAATTAATATAGCCACTACAGTGACCATCAAAACGATGAAAAAATATTGCTGTAAACGGTTTATTTTACGACACCACGAAACAAACGATAGCGTAAAACGAAACGATAGACGTTTTTATATCGTCATCCGATATATATCGTTATATCGAACAGCCCTCGTGTCCACTTCCTGCTCACTACAAGATAATATCTTATGATTGTTATTAAATTATGTAAAGTTGATCAAAATGTTACTACTGACCTAGAATACTCTCTACATTTCTTTAATTGTGAAATCATTCATGCTCTACTACACGACAGTTATAATGTTAACTGATGTGCAGCAGTGGTTTTAGCATTTAACATTTCTTTGACAACAAAGAATTCCTTGTCCTTCATCTCCCATAAGATCCATACATAAAACTGTGAATATGTTTAGGATGGATTCTCCTCAAGATAGAAACACACCACTAAAATGGAGCTCTGGCAGACGGTGTTTTAGGTTGTCTTTGGACATTAAAATAATGTGGCAGGCGATGTAATATTTAAAAGTGCTCAAAGCTCGCCATTTCTTTCTCTTTTGAAGTGATCTAAATATCTGTGACACAGCAGATGGACCCTCAACATGTCTGTGCTGCAGCTCTACTTTAGTGTCCAGTGCTG